CACAATTATTTTAACATACAGAACTCTAGGAACCTAGCAAAATTTTTTAATTATCCTGAATTTTGAATTAATCAAGTTCGAATCATGAACATTTGACTTTATCTTAGTTAAAATAATATTTACTTATTGATTGCAAAATTTTATTAGGTTTTCTTGCAATCGAAGTCAGAAAGTTTTGGTAATTTAAGATCAATTTTTAAGGTTAAATAGTCACATACAATGTTTTAGACTTCTTATTATGTTTCAAAAACTTTAGTTATTACATTTATTGTTTTCATAAATAAATCTTTTTTATTATGAAACCATTGTATTTTATAAAACTTTTTTTTATAAGATTATCATGACAATTTTCTTGATCAAAAGAAAGTAATATACATAACTTGAAGTGAAATTTGTAGTCTAAGATATATCAAGTTATTGAAAAACCCCTTATTTAAAAAGAAAATTTAAAGGTTTCTTTTTTATTGATCTTTTAAATAAGAAAAATATAATTTTAAACAATTGATAGTTTTCTTAGTAAAAGTATCATTTTGAAGTTATTTCATAGTTCCCTCTATTAACTGTTATCTATATATTAGAAAAATGCAACTTTTTTGAAGTTTTAAAAATTAACTACTTTATGGATTTTTATTTAGTTTGCATTTAATACTTTTAAACAGTTTGATTTTTTTTCTATTTAGTTTGAATGTTATGTAAACTGTGTGTTTTTGATGCATATAATTTTTTTAAAAAACAAAAATAAATAAATAAGTTATCATTATTTTTTATTATTTTTGTCATTTGTAATTCTGAGTGTTATTTCCTAGTTTTAAATTTTTCTTTTTTTAAAATCTTCCATTTTAGTTAATTTAGTTTTTGATGTTCATGTATTTTTAAGAATTTTTAACTTTTTTAAAAAATTAGTTTTTAAATCAAAATTTATGGAAGATTTCAGATTCTATTTAGAAATTTCTGTTATTAATTTTATAATAAATATGCTTGTTTATAATGATTATTTTTGTAAGAATACTGAGTTTTTAAACGTTGTTGGAAACTTTTTTTGAGAGATTCAATAAATTGGATTTTAGTATTTATTTTTGAATTTTGTTTTTCAGGTCGTTGTTCCTAAGCAGAAGGGTGAAATTCTTGGTATGGTAATAGTTGAGTCTGGATGGGGTTCCATGCTGCCTACTGTAGTCATTGCCAACATGGCTCAAAGTGGGCCAGCAGCAAGATGCGGGCAACTTAATATTGGGGATCAAATAATTGCCATAAATGGAATAAGCCTTGTAGGACTGCCTTTATCTACATGTCAAAATTACATCAAGGTATGTATCGAAAGGCTGCAATTTTATCTAAAATCATATTTCACTCTCTTTAATGTCTCTTAAAATCATTTCACTTTTCCAAATGCAAGATTTTATGTTTTTATTTATTTTTCTGGTTGAGGGTGAGTGAAAAACTTCTAGATACAGTAGAAAACAAGTTTTGTGATAATGCGTTTCTCTGTTCTAAATTTTTCTGCAAGCAAAATATCTAATGAGGAAAATTTTTAATTTGTAGCTTGAGTCATTCTACATGACGTGCACATTGACTTTGAAAGTTTCTAATTTAACAAACACCAGACGAGAATTTGAAAAATTGCAGTCAAAATTTTTAGACGGTTAACACAATTTATGCTTTTAATAAACTTAAATATATGCAAATGCAGAGGAATTGCAAGCAAAATATGTGAGTTTGAATTCAGTTTCCGCCTTTTAAGTAATGAGTTTTAAATAATGATTTGATGATTGATTAATTCACATAATATAGAAGTTGGCCATATAGTATAGAAGAGGAAGGATTGAAAAAGTGTGCATAATCTTCCAAAATCAGGAGCCCTAAGTAAAACAACTAAACATCAAGCTGTGTTAATCAGAAGAAAGTTTGTTGTTGATCTGAACAAGAGCACTAATCCAAAGAGATGGCCACTGAAGATGGACTCAGAGTAACAAAAAGTTCTCATCTGGAAAAAAAATAATCTGATCAAAGATTAAAATTTGTAAAGGAACATGTAGCATAGAGAGCTTAAGATTGGAGGAAGGTCCTTTGAAGTAATGAATCCAAATTCAGTTTGTTTCGAAGTGATAGCTGACATTTTATTCGTCGTCTAAATGTCACCAGAATGGATTTCCAGTACCAGTCATCAAAGCAAAAAGATATGCAATGAAGTGTTAAAAATTTGCTATCTTTTTTTACCTTAAGATGATTAATTTCAATAAAAGTTTAAAAAATGAATCATTTCCAAACTTTTTGGTTTCTTTTTTTCTCCAATTTATCGCTTGATGTTTGTTAAATTAAAATTTTTCAAGTGTATTATTAGTTGCTCCCCATGTTGGATGACTAAAGCTACAAACAAATTTACTAATTTCGCTTACGGAAAAACATGTCTCAAAGCTTTTACTCCTTACTGTACATTAGTTCTTTTTTTTTATGAATTCATTGCAATTTAAGAAACATAAATTCATAGTGTATTTTTTATTTTTTTTGGAATTTCATTAAGAGGTTGGAGACAAAGTTACATACAATCCATTCGTAATGTTAAAAAGTTCTGCATAGAATCATATAATAGGGAAGAAAAGTTAATTTTGGCCGAAAAAAAAGAAGGTAGTTAGTAAACCAGAGGTCATCAATATTAGTTGGTCAGCACCTTTATACAAGCACAGAGGATATTTGTTTCTATAAAATTATATATAGAGAGTTTTTATAAATTATTTATAAATTTCTAACTGAATTTTCAACAATTATTTAATTTAAATATTTGTTTTGGTAGAATACAAAAAATCAAACTGTTGTGAAGTTGACTGTAGTTCCATGTGCGCCAGTAGTCGAAGTTAAAATCAAAAGGCCTGACACCAAATATCAGCTGGGTTTTAGTGTTCAAAATGGAGTGGTAAGTACCAAGATTTATCTGCCCTGAATTAAATGCTTTTATTACTTAAATTTTCTTGACAACATTTCATTTTCATTTGTGTTTTTTTCCTTATAAGTTGCATTAGAGGAAGATAATTTTTAGATTCTGTTACTGTTCAATATTAATTTTTTTCTGAAGTGCAGTTTTCTTTTTTCTTAATATTGTAAAGAAAAAAAACGATAAATCAGCATGATATATTTTATCTAAGCAAACTGGGAATTTTAGATGCCATCTGTTATGAAGTTAAATTTATTTTGAAGCAGTATCCCGGTATTTTTTAAGTATATTTTTGTGTATTTGTGCATTAATATTTCTAAATGCGTTGAAAAATAGGCATTTTTCCCCCAATTCGGTATTTTTCATTTTGATTGGGTAGCATGTCTGTTGAAGGCTTATAGAGTGAGCCAACTTTCAATGCTAATATAGGACTGAGCAAGTTAATTTGACTAAATTATGGCAATTATGGTGCGATAATATATGGCGGTGAATATAAAACTAATTTACTTTCCTTAATCTCAGTTCAGAATAAATGCTTCAAGATTATTAATTCTCTAAATACAAATAATTCAAGTGTAACTACTACCAATATATATACAAGAATTAACCTATTACCATTTCGCCATAATGTATTTTTTCGTATTTTACTCTATTTACACNTTAGAAATGAACATTTTATCATTGTTGATTTTTACTCCGAGAAATTGTCAAATATCCTACAATATTATTCTGCATCAAGCATTCTTCAAATATTTTCAATTTTGTTCAGTGTTTAATTTTCTTTTATTTTTTCTAATAATTAAAGTACACCGAGAATTGCAGAGAAAATATGTTCTCTATCGAAATAACATCTATATTTAATATTAGAGCTTAGTTTTTACATTTTTAGTTTTCCTCTTTTTGCTTTAGAATAAAGACATTTAAATAAAATGTCCCCTTTTTTTTAATTATTTCATCTAGATCTGTAGTTTGCTCAGAGGGGGCATTGCTGAACGAGGAGGGGTCAGAGTTGGTCATAGAATTATTGAAATTAATGGACAAAGTGTTGTAGCTGTGCCACATGAAAAAATAGTCAACTTATTGGCTACATCAGTTGGAGAGGTATGTTTATCAATAATTTTGTGTGAAAGTTATAGAATATGATTGTTTTTATCAAAACATAATTTCGCATTTATCATTATTTTTTGGTGATAGGAATATTTTAATCATATTCACGTTAGAAAATATTTTAAAGATTATTTTTAGTTGAACCACGATTTATTTTATATTTTTTGCATATGACATGTTTTGCATTGGTGGCTTAGCTGCTAAATATCATATTTTTTTATCACAAATGTTAATATTTTTTATCACACTTTTTTTCTAGCCAAGCTGATAAGCAGCATTTTTTTTATTAAAATGTGTACTGGTTTTTACTGTTACATGAACGAAAATTCGTATATTTTATTTCAGTGTTATGATATATAGATATGTGTGTGCTTAATGAGTATTGCATCAATCTATTAATTCATCTGTATATCTAATTAATTCTTGAATGTGACCAGGACTGATAGTTATATATTCTTTAGAAGCTTATATACAAAGACAAGTATTTGAAATAATATTCTGTATGATTAACACAGAAAAAAAGTCAAAATTTTCCAAATATTTTCTAAATAATTTTTCTACATTTCGGTAGAATATATTTGTATTTTCTGTTTCAATAAAAAGAGAAACTCTCGAAGAATTAATAGATATTAATAAGTAATAAAATATAACAAATAGCAGAAGATAACAGGTAGTCTGGAGCAGAAAATACAGTAAAAGTCTGTTCTAATGACAATTCACAATAGCAGACAAAATTGCTGCTATAGTGAGAAAATATATGCATAGCATTATATGTTGTTATAGTGAGCAAAGTAAATATATGCTGTTATAATAAGCTAAATATGTGTATAGAATTAAAAGTAAATACGTACACATATATATTGTTAAAGTAGCAATTAAAAATACTTAAAAATTAAACGAGCACATAAATCTTTTTTTTTATATTTTAAGCAACTACTTTGACTTGAAATTTGTATTTACAGTAGACTGCATTTAGTGATAGATTATTGTTTGGATTGACAGTTTTTACAAGATTCTAGATAAAATACTGTGCAATAATTTTCCTCATCAGTAATAAATATTCTAAGATGGGAAATAATGGAGCATGGTAGATATGCAATCAACTAAAGGGGCATTCTTTTGGTAGTAGTAGTAGTACAACAGTATTCTTAAAAATAGCTGAAAAATTTAAAATTGTGAAGAAGTTGGCCAGTCGTCAATTGCACATATTCGCTATATTAACTTAAAAGGTTAAGGCTCTAAGAAGGAATTTATGTGAAATTCTGTCAATTTTTTCCTTTTCTCTATTTAAGCCAGAAATGACTAAAAATGTAATTAATCCTATTCAGAGTTTTCCCTAGGAATAAAAAAAGGCAGGGTGCTTCCTCGCTGAAATGGGCACTTTGAGTTTTGAAAGGGAACTCAATAACTGAATTTGATCCTCAACAATTTTTAAGTTACCTTCTCATACTATTTTATGTTTATATTTCAAAAAGTAATTTTCATTCATTATCTAAATAAGAAAAAAAAATTTCGAATTATAAATAATTATTAAAGGCATGATAAGAGACAATCTCTATGCATGCATTTTTTTCAGAATAAAAGTTAAATTTATTTTTTGATAAGCAATTAAGAAGATATTTCTATAACTTATACTGAAAATTATTAGAAAACAAGCATTTGAAAGTGCATTTTTTTTCTTAAAAAAAAGTAATTATTTAAAAAATAATTTTGAAACTTAAAATCACTTAAATTTATTAATATACCACCTTAGAAAAAAAAGTAAATTATAAAATTTAGGGAAAAACTTATAAAATTTTAACTAATTGAGAATAATCCTAACAAAGTAAATATTTATAATGGTAATTAGAATCAAGCCTATAAACCCAGATCGTTTTTGTGCGTAATTATTATTTTAACAGTTAATTAATTTATTTTAAAAATGCATCAGAATAAAAAGGCAGTTACAGGGGTGGCTGCTTATTTTTACAAAAAAGAGCACAGAGGGTGCATTTATAAGGATCAAAGGGCAAGCAGGGTGAGCCTTACGCTTAGGGAGAATACTGTCTTATCCTTTCATATAATATTGCTCACGTAAACCACACATTAGAAAAATTTATTTCCCTTAAAAAAAAGGCCAGCAATTCATGACTTGTAAACATATTTTTTGTAGTTTTATTATTAGCATATTGTCTGTAACTCGGATAGAATTTTTACTGTATTTTGTCTGCATTCTTTGCACGAGGGTCTCAGTTTCTTTTTTCTGTAATCAATACGAGATTTAAATATTTTATTGAAATTTTCTATAAAAAGTTTCTTACCCATGCATTATTTCTCTTTCAGATACATATGAAAACTATGCCTACGTCTATGTTTAGATTGCTAACTGGTCAAGAATCTCCGCTCTACATTTGAAGTGACAATTGCATTGTTTCCAAAAAGAAGGAAATTATTGTGCCTCCACTTTTTTCAATGATGGCCCACGAACGATGGCCCTCATCTGTTCACTTCTAAATGGCAGTGATATATATATAGAAATAGGTGTGCAAAATCAATTACAATAAATAACAAAAAGCAAGCGCAAAACTTTATTCCAACCTGTTTAGCCATATCAGGATTTGCTGGTGGGGAGAGAGCGAATGGAAAGAACTCAAATCGTATGTGCGGCTGGATGCTTTTTTTTTCATATAAAAGAACCGACGAAGATGTTGTATTTCAATGTTTATCTAAATGCTTGGTACTGATACCGTGTGTATCGGTCGAAGGAATGGTTTCTTGCACTTTTCTCTTCCAATGCAGTTACGTGCAAGGTGGACGTCCCTGCGAGTCGATCGCCGCTCGTGTTTTCTTTAACTCTACTAGTCACAAAACAGAGATATTATTTGTTTGTTTTATTTTCTGTTAACTTTCAATGAAGCTTGGAGAAAAAAAATTGATTGCTATTTTTCTTGTAGTGAAAAGGCTCGACTTGGACGTTATGTTTCTGAGCTATCAAGTTTGACATTTCCGAAGATGCTCTTCTTATAGTTCTGTTTTCGGTTACCTCAGAATCATTAATCGTGATTGCTTCTGAGGAATTAAACTTAGTGCCTGAAGAAAAAATTAATGACACTTAAATATTCTCTAATTGCTTTTCACTATAAACTGATATTTAAAATGCTGTTTTTTGAACCAGGGACAAATTTATTTCCTCACCCCTGTTAGAAATTCAGTTTTTTTATTTTTCCTCATTTTTAAATTTGCCATTTTTATGTAAAAAAAAAATATATCTTGTATAGCTATCATTTTTGACAGAAATAGGCAGCTTAATGTGCATTTTTGTCTACAGCTCAATTGAGTCAACAGTTTACTACTTTTCAAAGCATAAACTGAGTTTGCCCATAAATGTGTGCTTTTTTAATGCATCTAAGCCTCATTTTCTATTTAAGCTTTATTATTTAACGCATCTAAGCTTACAATGGAAAAGCATTTTGTTTTTTAAAGGATTGTACATATTTTTTTTATGCAGAAATTCTTTGTAAGATTTTGAGACTAGACACTATCTCTTAATCTTCTCTCTGAAAATTTCAGGATGCATTTAATTTCAATAATAAAAAAAAAACTAAAGTGAGGATCCTTATAGAAAGTGTCTCAGCTTTCATAAATATTTCAATGTGAAACACTTGCATGAACATTTTTTTGTAGGATCTAATGTACAAGTCTGATACAGTAATGCAGGAAAAGGTAAGTAGCTTTTCTATACTGCTGTTTAAGGTTAAAATGCATCATTGACTAAGTTAAAGGTCTTGCAATGGCTAAGTTAAAGTTAAAGGGCAATATGTAAAAAAAAAGGGCAATATGTAATGTGCTACATAAAGCTGAGGAAGATTGAGACTCTTAAACTTGAGTGGATGCTGTGAAACATTCGAACACTGTTTGAGGAACTTCTTTTTCAATTTAAAACTGCTAAATATTCTACAATTTTCCAATTATAAGAGGTTTATACATAATGTGCTATATAGCTGAGGTAGATTGATACTCTTAAACTTGGTGGATCCAGTATGGCATTAGAAAACTGTTTGAGGAATATCTTTTTCAATTGAAAACTGCCACTGCAATTTTCCAACCGTAAGAGGTTTATACATAATGCTCTATATAGCTGAGGAAGATTGAGACTCATAAACTTGGTGGATGCATTAAAACATTTGAAAACTGTTAAATTAAATTGAAAACTGCTGAATATTCTACAATTTTCCAACCATAAGAGGTTTATATGCTTGAAAAATTTACTAGTATTGAAAGCATCACTTACTCTGTTATCTCATTAATCACAACATGCTCTTAAACTGGCTCATCATAAGTCATTGACAACATGCTAGTCTTGTCATGATTATCATATGCCATTAAACATGAGTTTTTTTTTTAATAAACGCAAGTCACATTCTAAGTTTGAATCAGAAAGTTGTTCATCTATTTAGGTGGTAACTCCTTTTTCACCAGACTAAAATCTTGCTATAAGTGGTTCAATTCTTTTGACCGAATAATTTAAACATTTTTTTAAAATTTATTCTCAAAATTGTATTTTTCAGTTACACGATAAAAAATCTTTAATTAAATGTCACAAAATTCACAATTTTCTCAGATATTCAAGAAAATAAATGTTTATTTTTTCTCATTGAGTCGCATTAACTATAAAAACGAAAAGTCCTGTGGCAGAATGCAGAAATCAAGATCGCCTATTTCAGTGTATTTTAAGTATCCAGATATTATTCTATGAAAAGCCACCTTAGCTTGCAAGTCAAACTTGCCCGCAAAAATTGAAAATAAATTACAACCTCATCAAATTAGTCTTTCTACCTTATAACTAAGTCTTCAGCTTTCAGTGAACTCTTAATCAAGTATGGTGCATTGTAGTTAAAATTAAAAGATTTTAAGTGAGAATAGCTGCATATATTCCATATTATTGATTGGATTATATTTTATCCAATCTTTAATATGGATTAAGGATTTTTTTTTTAACTACTGAATCTGTTTAGTTACGATTTGCAAGACCACTATATGTTTAAAAAAATAAAAACTTTGAAGCAACACATGGAAAGAATTGAAAATAAAAGCAGCAGCATGTGAAAAGAAAATATAAATAAATCAACAAATGAAAATTATTCTTATGATTAAATATACATAAGACACCTGACTCAGACACCTTATAGTTTTTATTGATAATTGTTTGTTAAAGGTGATTAAAAAACTCTTAATTTGTTCAGAATTTGACAGATTTTTTTAAAAAAATTATATGTTTTAAGTATTATCTGTAACCTGATCATAAAAACTTACGTTCAGATCACATTTTTTAAATGATCACTTTGCCACACCAACTGGTTGTAAGAAAAATTTAATTCTTAAATTCTCCTGTCCCTTCTAATCTGGTGTCCTGACTATACCAACAAAGAGCTAAAAATTGATTGCTCCTCTAAAAACAGATTGGTTCGAATGTTTAATTGTTTATTTTTTCACTTTCTCACTAACCATCATATCAGTTTATGCTTTGATAAAGTATGAATCAAAATATATTGAAATTCTTCATAAGGGCTTGAGGGCTGATTTTCTTTTTAAAAAATTGAAGAAACTTTTTTTTTGTATTTTAAAGTTTGTAATTAAATCAAAAAATGTAAATAAGACATTAAAATTTTTGCTCAAGGCATGAAATTTTTGAAAGTTGCAAACAAAATAAAGCAGCTCTACTGTTATTAATTTCAGTGCTGATTTAAATTATGTTTGAATTTATATTTGTTTTGAAACATTTTTATTTATTTTTGTAAGAAAAACCTCATAATGTGGGTCAATCATCTTAACCTATGGATTAAACCTATTTATCTTACCTATTTGGATTAAAAAGTTCCTAGGTAGACTATATTACAGTATGAAAATCATCGTTGTTTCATGGTCTTAAACCTAGAAAATCTTTTAGTAAGTTCTTTAATTGTCCAATAAGTATAATCTTGTTTATTTAAAAAAAATTTTTTTGTTTAGTTAAAAATATCTGTTTATTTAAAAAAAGTATTATAATTTAAGTTAACTTGTGTACATCATATTTGCTATAAAATATCATATCGCAATTTAAGTTAACTTATGTCAATCAGATTTTAAACAAAATATCCTATTGCAATTTAAGTTAACTTGCGTGCATCCGACTTGAAACGAAAATGAAAAATTTCATCCTTTTAGGGATACACATATATTTTTATCTTTAATAAAATTTAAAATTCTTTAAAAAAAAAAAAATTAAATAAAAACTATATTATCATTTTACATTTACAATTAAAAAAGATTATGTTTATAGATATCGATATGTAATTAAGTGAACTAATAATTTTATTCGATTATATTATTAAATTCTGAAAGATTATTTTTCTCTCAGAAATACTTAGTACTCTACAAAAATTTGATTCTCATTAAATCATAATTTTTAACTTCATTACCAATGCAAAATGAAAATAAAAATCCAATTTCTAGGTTTATTTTACAAGCTATCAGCATAAAATCTTATTCTAGTATATTTAATTTTTTTATAAGGTCTGATATATCTTCTAAATATTATTTGATGTATGTATAATATTTCATGTATTAATTTAATTTTCATATATCAATTTAAGTACTTAATTTTCTATAATAATGCTATTTTCATGATAGGGATAACTTTTATTGTAATGTTTAAGTTATTTTAATAATCAAATCAAAGCTGGATTCTTTTTACTATTTTATTTTGAGGAGTTTTTTTCTGTTATGTTATTTTTTATAAATCGATTTTCTCTGCTTTGCAATTTAAAAGTTAAGCGAATTGGATAAAATTTTTCAAAATAATATGAATATAATTAGATAATTTTTTTCTGAAAGTATTAACATGGACTTGTTATAGTAAAAAAAGACTTTTATGTGTACTGAACTAATATATTTACTTTCTGTGTTAATTTATTGTTTGATTATGTTATATATTTTGATGTACAGTAGATTTATTTCAAATGTTTCACAAACTGGGCATACTTTTTCTAAAAACAATTTGAAATTTTTTTTTCATTCATCTTAAGTAGGTAACTGATAAATTTTTAAGTAAATATTCCGTTAAAGAACATTGGGGTAAATAGTCACATTTCATGATTAAATAAGTAAAATTTTAAATATAAAAAAATAAATGCTTACTGCTATGCAATGAAAACATTTTGAATTTGTTTTTGAAAACTAAGCTAAACAAAGAGTTGCATATAAAATGAAACTGTTGTAAAATAAGTTTTTAATCAGTTAAATAAAAGAAGTTTTTTTTTTTTTTTACATTTTGGGTTTGAAACATATTTTTTAAACTATTTAAGAAATGAATTTAAGAAAAAATTTATCTTTAACACTTCGAGTGCCATGTCAGTTATCGGTGACTGACACTGAACTTTCCATTCAAGCTGTGTCAGTCGTCAGTGACTGACACTGAACTTTCCATTTAGGCCGTGTCAGTCATCGGTGACTGACAGTGTAAAATATTCTATAAAACATGCTATAAGATTAAAAAATTTACATTGCTTTAAGTAGCTACTAGAAATTTAATTAAAATTTACTTAATTTTTATTTATTACAAATCAAATTTTGAGATATTTCAATCTGTTAGTAGTGTACTTTGCATTACTATACCACAATATGCATGCTAAGCAGCATGTGTGGCCAGAGGAAGATTTTCTCATAAGTATGGAGTGCACTCAATGTGTTAAATATTTTTCTTTTCGATTGTTGTGTAAGAGTTTGTGTGGGGTTACTTTGCCCATACTGCCATATTTATTTTATATTGATAACAAATGCCAAAATTTGTTTGTTTTTCACTAAAAAAAAACATATCATGGTTGTTTAAATAATAATAAAACACCCTTTTTGTGCTTATGTTTGTTTCTAGTCAAATTTAACTTTTTGTTGCTTGTAAATATTTGCTGCAACGTTGCTGATGACTGGAAGAATTTATGCAATGCTCATATTGCGCGATTGCGCTGCATTACAAATTTGTCTAAAAAAACAAGAATTGCTGTCTCATGTCAAACTGTGGACCAAACATTTAAAAGAGCTAATCTTGCGTATATAAATACTTTTCTTCTTCCTACATTTCTGTAATATAAGTCATGTGGTTAAATAGCTATTTTTGAATTAAGTATTTGACTGTAAAGATAAAAAATTATAAGTAGGCTATAATGTAATTTAAACTTTATTTAAAGGCAACTTCATAAATATTATGTCATAAATGAAGACTTGAGTTTTTTTTTATGTTTCACTATAATTCTATGAATTGTGATATAGATTTGTAAGAACTAAGTTATGTTGTACAAGTATTGTTTTTTTTTATTTAACCAATTAAAGACAGTTAGGAATTTTAATCTAAATTTGATGAATGGGTTAGATTCAAAATGGGCAATTCCACTTTTCAATTATATGAAAGGTTTGAAAATGGTAGGGCTACTTTCCAATAAAATGAAAGGTTTAAATTCAAAAATGGCTTCAGCTTCTTTTCAATTGATCCAGTGTGGTCTGTTTTCAGCTACCAGTTACTCTTAAGTCTCAACTAAAGACGACGATAGAAGATTAAATAAATAGCCAAGATTTAAAAATGATTAGAGCCATTTTAAATTTAAATCAAAAGCTTAGATTAAAAAATGACCTGACTACTTTTTTCGAGCCTCTGCTAAATGCACTTACAAACGGTTAAATGAATAGCAGAGATTCAAAAAATCAAATGAAAGACTTTGGTTCAAAGATGGCGGTCACTTCTTAATTCACCAAGAGTTAGATCAAAAATGACTGAGACCTCTTACCAATTATATGAAAGGCTTAGTTTCTAAAATAGTCCTTTCAAAAATTTACAGATGTTCAGCAAAGAACCAAGTTTTACATTTCTTTAACCTATTATAACTAAATACGACGTCTGAAGTTTAAATGAATGGATAAGATTCAAAAATGACTAAATCCATTTTAAATTTAAATCAAAATCGTAGATTAAAAAATGGCTTGAGCTACTTTTTAATTAGTAATTCTTTGTGGTCTGTTCTCAGCTACTGTTTTTTTTTTAGTCTCAAATAAATACGCTTACAAACAGTTAAATGAATAGCAGAGATTCAGAAATGTTTAGACCCATTTTCCAATTAAATAAAAGGCCTTGGTTCAAAAGTGGCTTAGGTCACTTCCTAATTCAACAAGAGTTAGATCAAAATTGGCTCTTTCCAATTGTAGGTTCCTTTTGGAAATTTATTGATGTTCAGCAAAGAGCCAAGTTTAAAATTTTTTCTGCCTATTATGGCTACCTAGTTAAAATTCTGTTCATGATCAGAATATGTATTTTCTGATATTTGGTCATGATCTTTTAGAAAGTGCTATCAGTTATGACATGGAAAAATTTCATAGTTCTTGAAAGAAATACTGTCTATAGTGACTTTTAAGTTATTTCATTTCATTATGGTGTTAGTATATTTCCAGTTACGTAAATAAATATACCTTCACGTGGAAAAATGTAAACTAACATTTGGTATAACATTAAGTATTCAAATAACTGGAAATACTTGGAAAAAAAATTTATCGTAAGTAAAAAAGTTCAAACATGGCCAGTTGTTAATTTGACCAACTGTACTCATAGTTTAAAAATCTAACTACGTTTAGCGAAAAAATAATGAGAGATTTTAGCCATTTTCAAAACTTAGTAACAGGTTTAGTCCAATTTTGAAGCAAAAAANAAAAAAAAAATAGAAATGTATAATTATTTGCAAATGTCTCACTTTTTTAAACAAAAAAAAATGAAGTCTCTTTCCAGTTTTAAATTTTTTTCAGACTTGGTCACTGCCTAATATCTTGTTAATTTAACCAACTTTACTGATAGTTCAGATGTCCAACTATATTCTCAGAAAAAATAATAAAAAATTTTAGCCATTTTTAAAATTAAGCAACTGGTTTTGTCCAATTTTGAAGCAAAAAAAAAAAAGAAACTATTTTATTTTTAAAAAAAGAAGATAGAAGTGTATAATTATTTGCAAATGTGCAACTTTTTAAAACGATAAAAAATGAAGTCTCTTTCCAATTTTCAATATTTTTGTGGACTTTGTCACTTTTGAATATAACTCTTTCAGGTAAAAGGTCTTGTAAAATGATTTGAAGTGGGTGCCTTTGACATGTGAAGCAGGCTGTAAAAAGGGAAATGATATTTGTGATGTGAATTGTTAGTGAATATATTTGTGTATCAAATGTAAGGTTGTGTGAGTAAAAAATATTATTGCATTTTTCTTTTTCAAAAAATGTTAATTTCCAGTTCCAGTTAATAATTGTGATGCAAAACTCAAAATTTTGCAAATTAGACTTATCATTATATTTTTCTGTCAGTTATTATTATGAACAGATATGGAGGCTACAGGAAACAAGTGAACCAAGTCCATGTTTTTTGCAAATATGACTTCCAAATGTATTCAGCTTTACTTACCGTCATGTAAGTAACATAACTATGAGCATTTATCGTCATCTAACAATATTATCAGTTTTTCTTTGGTCATTAAAATGTTACTCTGTTCAAATTATATAAATGTGTTATACTGTAAT